AGACCTCCTCTTTCGATCCCACCCGACTCGGGGGTGGGGGCCATCATCTGGACATTTACCGATGTATAATTTTACATGCGCCTTGCGAAGTTATGATTTATTTCCCCTGGGTAAGTGCATCAAGATGTGTTAAAAACGCAGTTCTGGGCTCTTACGTAAGACTATCTTTGGTACACGTTATAGATATGCATACACATAAAGGAATTTACCACCACCAAAGGTCGTACACATTGAATTAGCGATATTTTTTTTAAAATTTTATTACGACAAAAACAGATAGCCTAGCCGTATTGGGTTGAGTATTTAATTATTACAAGCATTTGTCGTCATTAAGATAAAGTGGCTAAAATTACTGGTAGGCCAAGGCGTCGGCATTAGCGCGCTTCGCTCTGGCGTCGCGACGCGTTATTACAGATGCCGACGTTTTGCGGAAGTTGTTAAGAAGACAGCCAGTCTCGCCGGTAATCGCGACCCTACCGGATGTTCCAGGCGACAAGAGGCGCAACGATCAACCGTTTACGAGAATCACGATTTTTGGAATCGTTTCTCTTTCTTTTTGTTTGATACATAATATGCGGGTCATTTTTATTTTCGATTTTTCCTTAAAATAAAATGAACTTGGAAAGTTATCCAATACTTATTAATAATTTGTAATAAAAACAATAGAATTTCGGTGCTACTTGCAAAAGTTAATTTGTGCTTTTACGATAAACAAGTAAGTATCTAGTGGTTTTTATTTTTTATTAATTTTTAGGGTTCCGTACGACCGAATGAAAAACGGAACCCTTATACACACTCGTGTGTCTGTCTGTCCGTCTGTTACTGTCAATTTGCTCCGAATCTACTAAATTAAGTTCAAATTTGGTACATATACGAATTTCTGTGACCTACACACGGTCGCATAACATTAATAAATTAAACTTGAACATGGGAGTCGTTTTTTGGGGGGCCAATCGGAAATTAAAAAAAGTTTTGCGAATTGTACCGTGTGACATATCAAATGAAAGGGCTTCTTGTTAGGATCCAAATATATTTTTTTTAATAATACAAAATAAGTAGTTTGAAATTTATTTAAGAAAATTGATGAAAATTGATCATCCCCTTCCACCTTTATCTCCGAAACTATTGAACCTAAAATTTTGAAAAAAATATATAAAATAGTTCTTTACTAATAGATGACAGGAAAATTGATAAGAAGTCTATGGACTGAGCGCAACGTGGTAAATCTTTCACCAAAACAATTTTATGCGTACAGTTTTACATTTGCAGTTTGAATGTATGCGAGAACATATCTTTTTTCAATTACAATGTTACGTTGATTCTCGGGTCGGGGTTCCGTACGTCAGAATAAACAATGGAACCCTTATAAGATTACTCGTATGTCTGTCCGTTTTTTTAGTTCTCTTTCGTTTGAATAAAATCCTTCTTATTTGATTTTGAAGTTGTTATATATTTTTAACTTAATTTTTTATTTTCTCTTTAATTTTTTCTCAAAAACAACGAAAATTATATCTCAATTTGTCGAATAGTTTTTGAGTTACATAAATCATCAACTGTTTTCAAAGAAATATTAGGCACATTTTACCGCGTGTCGATTATCTACTTACATAGGTATGTTAAAATATAGCTACAAACAATGTGAACGTTATAATACTCTTAACAATGTGAAGTCGCTTTAAATTCATCCATCAGTTCTCAACAATAAAGGCAACAGACAGACAGACACCCTCAGAGGGATTCTACAAGGTTGTAAGTTCTAAGCACCTACACCTTAACGAAAGTTTCTACGATTAGGATATGTAAAAAGGTCTTCTGTATCGATGAGTCTAACATTATATCAATTGGTCCAAAGATGCAATTTTTACGGCTCCATGAACATGTTATATTACATGATGATAAAATTAAGTACATAAAGTTTTTATGTACATAAATATATGCCGGCGACTGATAGAGAAAATATAAAAACATTAGTTAATAATACTTACCATAAGATCTACGGTAAGCATTGGTAAATTGGTAAAACGCTTGAATAAAACAAATAAATATCGAGTTTATTGTTTTTTAGTGTAAACTTCAACGTTATACCTACTTACAACTAGAAAATCTAATGAGGATACCATGGATAGAGAAGGTTAGAAATGAGGAGGTATTAGAAAGAGTAAGAGAATAGAGGACTCTATGGAAGTCAATAAAAAATAGGCGAGATAGATTTGTAGTACACCTTCTTAGACATGAAGGTCTAGTCAGAGACATATTAGAGACAGAAACGGAAGTTAGAAAGGGTAGAGGTAGACCTAGATTAGATTACTCTTCGCAAGTAGTTAAGGATGTGGGTTGTTTTAGTTTTAGGGAAATGCGAAGATTATCTCAGGATAGGAAAGAGTGAAGGTGGATCGCGATTTCGATCTTTTTGGATCTCATCAGCGCGGCGTAGGCAGCTCCGACAGAACACAGACCAACCTTTACCTGCTGTCTTAACAGCGCGTTGTAGAAAATACTACAAATGACGTGGTGAGCGCCATCTGTCGTACTACTCGAAAACGGTAAATTTTAGAAGAAGGAAAGCCTTATAAAAGTCTACCTAAAATCGTAAGTAGAATTCACAACCGTCATAACATACAGGATATTCAACTTAAAATAACGAAGTTGATGTCAACTTCCGGTATAACCGGAAGTGTTACATAGATGCCGTTATTTTAATTGAGGAGAACATACCCAATAATGCTATTATCCAAATTTTCAAAATTCGAATGGAAGTAGTTTCCGAAATATTCTAATCGGTGGTCACCGTGTGACACCCTGTTTATATTCATGTTAGGCCTGAAGACCGAAACTGCTCAGTGGCCGGAAAAAACGGCCACATCGCGGTCTGGCTGCCTTCCAACGTACAGAACGCGTTTTGGTTGTTTTTAAACGCTCGCAACGCATCTCAACTTCTCGTACAAGAAATTCGTACCTTTTCTCAGACAGCAACATAGATCTATCGTCACAAGTATCAATAATTGGTTTTACTTTATCATAAAAAAATTCTTTCGCTGATTTATCAGACATTTTAATGAAAGTGTAACTTTTCAAACGACTTTAGTAAGTTGTTTAGTCAATGACAGACTGATCTTCTCGCTACACTGACGAGAACTATACTGATTTTTCATGAAGTCAAGTTAGTTATTATATACTTAAACTACTAAGTGTTCAGTGTAACTTTCTTCCTAGAACTGAAAAACAATTATAAGAAATTTAATATTGTTGAAATGATTCGGCGAGAAAAACCGAAACCATCTTTGGTATCCTATTACAGTTGTCAATAATTGAATTGTTTCCTATAAACTGGAAAATGGATTGAAATTCATTTGTTTTATAAGTACAATATAAATCTCATTGTACGCAGGTAGAAAGCGGCAAATAATACAAGTCGAACATTAAGAACGCGTTGTAAGCGTTCAACAATTGACAAAACGTGTTCCGGCTGTTTAACAGTTACCAGAACGCGTTGCGAGCGTTTAAAAACAGCCAAAACGCGTTCTGTGCGTTCGAAGGCAGCCAGAACGCGATGTGGCCGTTTTTTCCGGCCACTGAGCGTTTTCGGTCTTCGGGCCTAACATTCATATAAAACGTGTATATATGTAAATTTCTCAAAGCGCCCGTATACTATAAGGGACGAATTCTGTCGGCCCCTTTGTAGTTGTTATAACCGGATTTTACTACATTTTAGATAATATTAAGGATTCCAAAATCTTCGTGACATATAAAGCTTGTTACTGATATTATTAGTAGTAACAGTGGGAAGAAAAGAATGCATAAATAACAAAAGGGATTTAAGAAAGCCGTTGTCTGGTTGTGAATATTTCAATTTTATTAAAACATGCTTCGTATCTTGTGTTATTAGATGATAAAAAACGTAACATGTGAATAAAGCCAGCGTAGTTTAAAAGAGATACGATTCATTATTATCATATGTTATATACTTACATAAAGAAGCGAGGTACAGAATACAGTAGGTAATTCCCCGAAGTTATGCGATAGCT